GCTTTCACAACGAAATACACAGCGTCTTCACGACATGGCGGCGGCAACAATACTACAGCGAGAATAAAGTTACGCCTTCTTTCTTTGCGTAAACATTTGGGCGGTGTTATGCAAATCTTCCCACATCGTGATGTAGACATGTGGGTGCGTGTTAGAACGAGCCGTTTTAGGTAGGCGTGGTTAACTCTTAACTTTTATAAAGAATATCTCTTTGGTTTTGAGACTTTAGTGTTTGCAACTTTACAGATCTTCTTTATGCACCAAGAGCTTGTAACACTCCAAAGAGAAAGGAAAAATTGAAATCGCATCATATGACCCCTTTAACTCAAAGATTCCTCATTGTCCGTCACAATATTTGAAGGACCGCTCATATAGGCTAAGATATTTTCAGTATTTCTACCATAATGACAGAGCTGCTTGTTTTAAAGCTTAAATTAACATAAATGGATTAATATAGCTATAATGATAATTGATATATTATAATAAGTAACCAAAATTAATTTCAAGAATCGTATGTTCAAAAAAAAAAAACCAACAACAACACACACACACACATTAGTTATTAAGCAGGGGTTAAATATAATGGCAGTTTACATCTTGTATTTGTGTTTTTTAGTATTTGTATTTAGCTTATAATTAGATTGTTTTTATATCAATAATAATAATTAGTACTAATTTAAATAAAAATACTGATCCTGTGGCCCCTTTGGAAGTTTAGAAGTCTAATTATTATTTAGATTTTCTTGAAACACTTTGGCAGATTTGGGATTTTTAAAGCCAGTAACATGCTGAAACTGATAAGAAACAAATATACAACTTAATATACAAATCATAAACTTTCACTTACATTAGGCACTTGGTACTTATTAACATCCTAACAGTCTTTAATTAAATCAATTTTGTTAGCTGAACATTATGTGAATTTAAGAGTTGAATTGTGGATGTGAGAATAAAGGAAGGCATATTAAATATGAAAATAACAATGTTATTGTTGCTCAGCATGGCTCACTGATTTCCTCCCTCACTTGTTTATAGAGGTTTCAGCCAAGAGGCCCCCACCTACCTCATCTCTTCCTCCCCTCCCATAACAAATGATTTACTCCTCCTAATGACGGCACCACTAGATATGTAGTTGAATTTCATCTACTAGATGTGCAAGCTTTTCAAAAAAAAAAAACAGACAAGATTCCAGGAAGGTTACGTCTGTTGGAGTGCAGTGAAATGCGTGTTTGTTGAGTTCAGTGCAGACTCTGTGACCATTCTGACACATGCTGGTACTGCCCTGTGTGGAGGCATGACTCTGCGCCAGCGCTACGCAAGCACACTGATGAGGACTAGATGCAGCATGCCCCTCCAAGTATGTTGCTGTTGTTGTGTCTGCAAAAGCATATCCCATTACTCTGGTATTCAAAACAGTGTTGATTTTGCACTTCCCATAGATCCTTTGTGTGGCTTCGACCACCATGCATTTGTTTAATATTGCATTTGACATCAGTAATTTAGGTTATGTTTTGGTGGCTGGCCAAAGAATCTTCCTGCAGTTCTGTTATGTTGCGAATGGGAATGTCTGTCCAACTGTGAAATGAGTGCACAGAAATTCTTCCACCCAAAATCACAGGCTCAAGGTTTTGGCATGCCTGTGTCAAATATCCCGGGACTATATCAACTGAAAAACAAGGAAAGCTGTTCTTTAAAAATACATTCAGCTTCACGAACATAAGGCTATAAAAACAAAGATAGATCGTGTATCTTAAGGATATATATATTTTTTTTACACTCACTCTTGGGAATGAAGAGAAGTGGTGAAACAAACACATTATTTTACATGTACCCTATAATCAGTGTTTTTAGTATCATTGAGATACTACTATAGTTTTATTTAAAGGGGTCATATGATGCGATTTAAATTTTTCCTTTCTCTTTGGAGTGTTACAAGCTCTTGGTGCATAAAGAAGATCTGTAAAGTTGATTTTTTTATTTTAAATACATTTTTTTATTGATTTTTAAGTCTATACAGTTTCCATTTTATTTTTATTTCAGTTTTATGTTTAGTTATTTCAGTACATCAAATTTTTATATTTTGAGTTAACACGTATTTATTTCAAGTAATGAAAACTAGCCTATGATATTTCTACTTATTAGCCTATACCTTACCTTGTTTTACGTATACTTGATGAAACATAAACCCGAGCTGGTCTGCTTCCCTTACGAAAATTAACCATGGTTTTACTACAAATTAAACCATGGTTACTATAGTTAAACCATGGTAACCACAAATTAACCATGTTTTTGCTACACTAACCATAGTTTATCCATGGTATTTAGTAAAACTGTGGTTATACAAATGGTAATCAATATGCCAAAAAACCATGGTTACAACACTTTTATTAAAATAAAACCATGGTTAATTTTCGTAAGGTGTGTCCTCTATCTACTAGTCTGATGGTTTAAGAAGGGTTTTAAGCACTTTTTTTAATTGTACACATGAATATGGTAATCATTCAGTACCATGGTATCTGATGCCATCATTGTACCATGGTACTGCCACAGTACGAAAGTCTCAAGGCCTATTAATTGATCCTATTATTAGCTGTAATACTCACTCATTTCTGGGACACATTCCATGCTGAAAAACTTTGTCGAGGGGAATAACAGCTTGACCGAGAAACACGTCGAGCCCGATGAGCACGCGGTGCATCACTGTGAGCACCAGGTTGCTGCTCATCCCACCCGCCTCCAGCAGCCCAGGCAGCAGCTCAAAGGAGCACTCCTCGCTCCACTGCGGCTCCTCAGCCTTCTCCACCAGGCCGGTGGTGTACTTCTCCTTGCCGACCTGGATGATGGTGTAAACGTAGCGGCTGCCTTGCTTGCCCTTCGTCCGCAGACCCCTCGCGCGAAGGACGGTCACGTTGACGTGCGTCGGGACCCATCTCTGCTCGTCGTCGTCCAGGCTGATCAGAGGCATCCCGCTGCGGTTGGAGACGCAGTTGTTTGGGATAATCCAGCAGAATGACACTTGCGCACTGGATAACTATGCACTGCCCGCGCCCTTGCGCCTGTCCGCCGCCCGAAGTTGCAGTGAGACAAAGCGCTGCATTATCGTCCAGCTCAATTCAAAAGGACAACCACAATCGCAACGTTTATAACAACAATCCCTGGCGAGTCAAACTTCACATCAATTTACCGTAGTGGGCGTTCTGGACCCTCGGCGTCACCACCACAACAGATTTTTGACAACTCACTGCACTGCTGCTGCGCGGCCCGCCCTCCAACATTTTGTGGGGGCTCCGCAATAAAGTATCCAGCTGAATTAAAGAGAAAGGCAACTCAAATCCCTGCTGCGATAGTTCACCTCAGAACATAGCAAACAATCCAGCAGAGATCACTAGTTTGAGCTCTACTTCGACAGGGCATCTGGGAGCACGCTGTGATGAGTGTGGGAAAACTTATCCACGCTGAAGAAGTTCATTGCGGTAAGTGGCGTTTGTTTCGTGAACGAGTTTTGAATGAATCTTTTAAGTGAACGAATCGGTTGGTTTGAACAAATCTTATAAGTGAACTGATATCGTTCTCGTTCTTTTTTATGCACTGAAGCCTTCAAATATCATTCGAGTAGGATCTGCGAAGACGCATGTGGGCGTTTTGATGAGTATGCTCAGGTGTCTCTTTAAAACCAAAATGTTTCGCAAATCAGTGGGCGTTTAAAACGTTTTTCAACAGCTTTACCCAGTTTTCAAAAAAAACAAAAACATGTAGGCTCATCCAAACCCAACCTCTAAACCTACCTAACCCACAGTGGGTTAGAGCAAATCGGGTAAAGCCGTTGAAACGTTCTTGGTCATGAGAACGCCCACTGATTGGGGATCGCCAACTAGGAGAGAGAAGTTTTGAGTCTGATGAGATTGGTCAATAACAGCCGTTCTCAACTCTGGCCCTCAAGATCCATTTTCCTGCAGTTTCGATCCAACCTTGATCAAACTCACCTGCCTGTAACGTTCTTGCAATTCGGAAGAACTTGATTAGCTTGTTCAGGTGTGTTTGATTAGGGTTTGAGCCATGGGCGTAGCTTGTGGGGGGGCCAGGGGGGCCTGGCTCCCCCATAGCGATTTAAGAATTTTACTAAAGCAGGAAAGTGTACCTCGAGGGCCAGAGTTGAGAATGAAAGACAGAGGAGTCTGAAGGAACTGAACTGGAATACTAGCGATAAAGGCGCATTTAACTAAGCGGTTGTGTGAATGATTTAATGACTCGCTCCCTCTGTTACCTGCAAAAAGAGTCAGTGAGTGAATCAGAATCGTAATTATTCTGTCAGTAAACCTATTCAAAAGATTCGAATCAATGAATCAAAATCCCCATCACTTCTGCAGTACAGTGAAGATAGTTCTGGGGGGGTGGAGATCGATGCTATCTCTGCTTAACTGTCCCATGATGAAGATTATTTTTTCCGGCTGAACTAAATCTGTTTGAGCCACATATATTGCGCAATGCCTGCGCCACATTACATAACATTCTAAGTTAAAGATATAACTTACTTAATTTACAATGTATGGTGATTAAACTGCTGAAAAACAATAAGAGTTTAAACTAAAATGGTTTGCTGGCCTTGGTCTTTCAGCTTGGTCCAGCTGGTCTGCTGAAAGATTTTAAAAGCAATTCTTACTTTGAGCCCAATTTTGCACTCTTGTTTATTATAAATAGGCTAATATGCTGCATCCGAATGATTTCATAAAGTATACTCACATTCACTCCGCAGACATCTGCAATTATTCACAATGGAGTGAATTTGACAGCCTTTGAATTGGTTTCACAAAGAAACGTTGCAGTGGCTTTATTGTTGTCTACTTCCATCTATTGTTCAACGTCTGGAATTAATAGAGCAGCTACTATTGAAACACAACACAGATGGCATTGTCTGGATCACTTATTTTGTCTTTTCTCATTTTTGTCCACATTACATAAATGCATCTTCTGTTTGAAAAGAAAATATCATTAATAAGTAAGAGGAAAAACAGTCTCATCACTTTTGGCGGGGTTCACAGTGTTGACACGTTCTTTGAATAGACTAGAGGACTAACAATTTCCAATTACCATGGATTTGTACAATCACAACAGGCTACACATCACAACAACAGTGGCTTTTGTATGTCTGGTAGTCAAAGGCAACAGCAACTTGGTAACTTACTTTGAAGTCTTTATACCACTCTGACACAACTTCATCAGCTGTTTAATGTTTAGGAATTGCTGACTTTTAAACCTGAACATGAACTTGGGCGATACAGAAGCCATTAAAAACAGAATAATGAGGCCACAGATCTTCAGATATGAAACAGCCTTAACGATCACAAGTTTTTATGCTGTGTGACAGGTTTAAATGTTAGGGACTCCCCACCATCAGACGTCTGATGAAGCGCCGTGGAGAATGAATTCAAAATTAGTAGTTAAATGACATTTGACTGAATTCTACCAGACATTACACAATGACCTGCATGTATAAACATTTCACAGACAGAGACTTTGTCTAAGGCATTAAAGAAAGATGGTCCGTTTTCAAACACATTTTTCTTTTGTTTGAAAACCCAAACAGCCAGAGGCCACTAATGTAACAGGAACACCAAGAGATAAACAACAGTCTGAAATTGGCAGTATTTGTAGTTCTTAGTGGTAGATGGTGTCTCTTTTTAAGGCATTTCATTTAGTCTCTTATGCAGTCACACAGAATATTATCATGTGGTAGAATAAATGAAGTGGGGTTGATCCTTTAAACATGATCTTTGTAGTGCTTAACGAACTAGAATCAAGAAGCAGCAACACAAATTACGAACAACATCGCTTCCTTATTGGATCAGAGGAAAGATTAGGAAGCCACCCAACACACTATATTACAGACTTACTGTATCTCCACAGTCACAGACACGGACAAATTGTAGAGTTCAGTAATTTCATCTTGCAGCCACTTTGAAAATGATTTTGCAACATCACAGTTTTTTTTTTTTATAAACATCACTGATTATTCAACATCATATGATAAAATAGAGGGCAGCACTTTAAATTTAACCATATCAGAAAGAATAACAGAAAATCATATTAGCACCTCATTTGCAGGCTGTCTGTATGAACATCTGACCAATCTGACAAGAAAGGAAGCTCTCCTTATTATTTACGATGCAGTAAAATGGATACATTCATGTTGCTATAGTAGATCACATTCTTAATGACATTCGATGGAACAAATTAGGAAATGGAGCGCATAATAAACCTGATATTGTGTAGAATTCAACCAACTCTGCTGCCTAGTGACTACTAACCATTTAAACAATATAGCATGGAAGAATCCCACGTTATTTAGTGGGTAGGTGTGAACGCCCTGGAATGTTTTGACAGGAAGGAACAAGGATTATTTTCATACACAAACCACGTTAAGATCATGTAAGTGCTGCAACTTCTGAATGAGCCGATCCGGAGGGCTTGATCCATGATTTGGACGTATTTTTCTTCTTTAGTCCCCCAAACCATTCTGTGAGCCCTTCAGATAGAGCTCATCCTGAGAGAGCTGCCCGTCGTAGCTCTCCATGTATAAACTACCACTGCTGCTGCTACCGCTGCCCCCGTTCCCCAGGAAAGTGCCTACAGCCCGGCCCTGCCGCGCGTGCCCTACTGCATCGCTGAAGACTTTGTTTATCTGCTCCTCAGAGGGCATCCACCAGTCAGGATTAGAAGCACAGTGCATCCGGATAAACTCTGTGAGAGGGAATGCCGCGGGACAGAGATGGATGAGGGAGATAGAACGTGTGAGATGCTAAATTAAGTTTGCATTATTATCGCACTGATAATCTGATTCAAATTAGATGGTAAAATTTAAAAAAAAGTGTAAGAACGTTTTAGCTCACTACCTCTGAGACAAGTGACCTTGACGGGGTTGAGAGGTCTTCTCTCCGGCACCGGCTCCCCTGTGTGTACCGAACGTTTCCTCTTCCCCAGACCGCATGAGTATTTCAGCTCATCTGTGGTGAACACGAACCGGATAAGGTAACGCAGGAGCCGCCGGCCATCTTTTTTTGAGGAGTTGACTGCCTCGTCCCACTGCTTATTGGTGATGAAGAGAGGATAGTTCCCCAGAAGCTGTTTACTGCCCTATTTCGAAAAGACAAGAGATTATAGATTGTAGAGGGGAAGAAATCTTTAATGCGCTTTAATGCATCAACATTTAAACAGACGCTGCACTAAACACTGAACCAGAAAACAGGCAAATTCAATATAAAGAACTGAAACTTTACTGAGATGCTAAAAGACTCTGTGGCTTTTAGTTTATGTAACAGTTCTTTAAAGTGATATTTACATAACCTCAGATTAGACTTTCATTTGACTGACAGTTTCAGTTCTTTTCCCACTGGTAATCATTTCTTGTGTAAACCTGTGTCTCTGTGGTTTTCACGACTATTTGAACAGCACCGAAAGGTCTTTTGTCAGGCTCACCTCGGTAAGCTGCTCTTCAGGCTGGGGCTGCACAAATTGGTTGTAGTGCTGAAGAACAGTCTTAAAAAAGTCCAGAACATTCTGGCAAGGAGCTGTTAAGGCAAAACCAGCAAAACTTGTTGGCTGATGAACTTTGTTTTATTTAAACCAAACAAGCTGAAATGTTGTAAAATACAATGTACTGTTAAGAGTGCACAGAGTTTTGTTTTTTTCCCTTCAAATTGTAATCTTTACTGTTTACTATTGTTTCCCCATTCGGTGGCAAATACAGCCAAATGTCTCGAACTCTTTTTGGAAACTTTCAGTTGTGGAATAAATAAATCATAGCTCACAAAAAGGCTTTTCCACAAAGGTATCCAAAACTGAAACGGTTTAATAATTTCAATAATTTCCACTGCAAACTTCAGACAGTTTTCCCCTGTTCTATATGGCTATACAATAATGATATTCAAAATAAAAATGAACAAATTTAAAAAGACAAATATTACTATTGCAACAATATTATTATACTGAATAATTAGAATGTAGTGTTTAATAATAATAATTTTATTTTACAGAACAACAGTAAAATTACAATACTAATATTTGTCTGAATTTCTCTGCTTTCAAACATTATACTACAGACCTTTATTTTGGTGGCAAACAGCTGGAAGACTTTGGAACTTCTCTTTTGTTGACAACAGATTTTTAAACGATTCTCTTTACAAATTTGTGTAATGAGAATCTACTGTGTCTCCAGAAAGTTTGATAAACATTTAGTGAACAGCCTAAACCCCTTTTAAGTACACTGTGCACCTTTAAAAGCTTAGGATAGTAATAATGATTTTGTGGATATAATGATTACAGGGGATTATGTGTCTAATATCAAGACAGAAATAAAAGCAAATCATCAAAGTTTAATACCTGGTATATTGTCCAGTTTGTGTCTCAGTTCCTCGTTTTCCTGCTGTAGACTAAGAACTTCCTGTTCCAGCTCCATACAGCGTGGACAGCAGCCTTCCTCCTCATCTTCCTCAGGCAGTGTGGACGAGGGGTGTCCGTACGACTCAGAAGGTGCTGGAGAAGCCCAGCCGCCTAAGTTCTGCCTCGGGGACCCTGATGCTGCCGGCTCAGCCTCTACCGGGCGACACCGTTCACTGTCTGATGACTGGGGTCCGGAGAGCAGGTAGTTCTGAAGCGACTCTGTGAAAATCCGGAGGAAAGCGGAAGTCTGCTGCTGGTTCCAGTGGTTGCCCCGTTGGGTCTCCTCACCGGTGTTCTCCAGGCATGAGTCCTCTGACCGGGTCTTAGAACTGAGCCTCTCTCCTGGAGACAAGCAGCTGTCCTCCTGTTTTATGAGAGCGGAGATGGAAGAGGATGGAGGGACGAGGGAAGGCTGGGGCTCAAGGAGCCGCCCGTTGCTGTTGAGGAGGCTGAGCACTCGACTGCACTGCTGGGCAAAAGCATCCAATATAAGGCGGTTTTCTGAGGGGAGAGCAAAATCACACATAAGTACACAAGTATTGCAGCATCAGATTTATTCTCCAAAAAACCAGTTCAATGAAATGAAACTCATTTTACTCACTATCATGTATTTTAAAACCTGCATGACATCTGTTGTCAAAAAACGTCAAAAAAGGGTTCTTTACAGTAGAACTTTTCTATACTACCACATGTATCAAGCAATTTTCAAGGCAAAATCTTCATTTTTAATATTTACAATGCTTTTTCAATACTATATTGTGCTTGGATATTGTGCTAAATGTCTCCTTTGGTGCTCTAGAGAAGAAAGAAAATAACATTAATATAATATCCCTTTAACATTTCTTCCTCAATTTCTATGTGTATTTTTTTGTTGCCTTTTTTACTATTCGGTTTACATAAAAATCGATTAATTTACTAATCAACATTTAATTTATTACAGTCAAACCAAAATGTATTCAGACACCTTCAACATTTCTCACATTATCACAGTTAATTCGTTATAGTTTAGAAAACTGTAATAAAATATGACAAGAACTCAGAGTTAAACAGAGTCAGAACAAATTCATCTTGATAATGTCAGATAACTTTGATAGAAAGGTATGTAATGAATTTGGTTGAATAGCTGTCAGCTGCTAAATTTAAGTACATAATTAGATAATACCAATTTAGCTCAACCAATTACCAAGCAATGCTTAATTTTGTTCAGTCTGTGGTGTAAAAAGGTCGCGTTAACAATTAAAGAAAAAAAAAACACTTAAGCAAAACATGGTCAGGTCAAAGTGTCTGAAGAATTTTTGGTCCCAAATTTGTTATCAGTTTTACAGGTTGTCCACTGTATGAAGAATTTTTGGGTATAATATGTCACAGTTTATTTTATTTTGCTATCCTTGCTTACATAAATGAACTATAGTGTCCTGCACCCACTAGTAAAAAAAAAAATATTATATCTGGTGTCTGAATAATTTTTGGCTTGACTGTATTTTAGTTTAGCCTAATTTCACAATACCATTGCTTTTGATCTTTATGAGCTCCATTTTTGCTTTTTCGTTACATCCTTCATGTCCTCTGTTTGCACTTTCCATCATTTCTATCTTTAAATCTGCAACTTGGTCCTGCATGCCTACAGATTTAGGAGATAAGGACGCTGTGAATCTGTCTGCACACACATAACTCATTTACATGGTGTCACTGTTCTAATAAACACTATTCATATCTTCCAAATCCTCTATAAATATGATGAGAAGAAGCAGAGAGATTAATAAAAGGAAAATGCTGACCAACCAACCGCATACAATTACTCTTGTCTCCCCACAGCCTTCTGGCCGCGCCCAGATGCAGAATCTTATAAGAGGATGATTATGAATTTGCCACCCTCACACAAAGACACAGGGCAGACAATTATCAGCTCAGGCAGTCGCTGTGGCAGCCGCATGAGTGACGGGCGCGAGCCTCCGCCGTCGCCTGGATGTGTCTATCAGGATTAAGCAGATGTGGCCATTTATTAACATGCGCGGCATCTCTGTTTACCCCCAGCAAGATGGATTTGATATTCTCTATCTAACACACTCCCTCTCCTCCTTTGCTGCTGTCGTTCCCTCTCTTCCCCTCTCTCCTTCTTTCCCTCCCTCTTTTTCTCCCTCTGTTATGCCACGCAGAGTGAGCCTCATGAAATTTCATTAAACACAACATGTGCCGCAGAGCCAAATTTATGAGCCACATTTGTTTTAATCACAATCCCTTTGGAGGAGCTTTTAAATGCAATTTGGATTATTGCACTGATCTTAGAGCTGTGTCCTTGGGTGTCTACGGCTCCTTCACCCAGGGCTAGAAAGATGAAACCATTAGCATTGTCTGATTGGCCAAAAAATCCCCCATGTATTCTTTTGCAGTGGATATTCCTTAACGATGAACCAAAAGGGCTCGGAATGAAATTAGAAATGCACCATTTACAAGCAGGCGCTGTGAACTCTGATCTTCATTGGAAACATCTACCGTGTCTCCAACAAGTGCAATTAATATTTAGTGAACAGCCTGAAGCCCTTTTGATGATGCCCAGGATAATTTCGAAATGGACTCTGCATGTTAAACACTACATCAAAAAAACAAAAAGGTGGCAAGATATCCAATCCAATAACTTATGTGGCGAAAAATAGATCAGCTGAATGTTTGCACAGACACTGAGGCACCCTGTTGTATGATAATGACACAACTGCTCAATTTGTGAAGGCCTGAGGCTCTGCTGAATGAAAACGAACTCTTGCAACAAGCACATGAAAAACAATTACTGAAGTTGACAAGTTTAGGTAAATCAGAGAGAGAGAGCTGGTGAGAAAAACATGATGCTTTCCACAAATTCATGCTGGGAGCATCTTAATGCAGAGTGCAAAGAAATCTGACAGTACTTGATGAGACTTTCATTTTTATGACAGATACTCTCTCTGATCATGGACCAGTGTTTACATTTCATTGTAAAACTCAACACTTGATACTGATACTCATTATATATTTCTCCTTTAAGCAATATGAGGGATTTGAGAGCATTTTAGAAATTACTGAAGCAGGTATGTCGACCACTGTGTTAGTAGCCTACTATAAAGACGTAAAAGAAGATATTGGTAAATATACCAACAGACTTACAATGTCATCCTAATATAACAGATACAAAACATTTTATTGCAGGGGTGTTTTTAATTTACCAAGCCACTGTTGTTGTTTATTTTTTCTCGGCGTCATTATTTTCAGGTAAAAACTGATGTGAAATTAAACATGTCGACAATACTTGAATGAGTCGCATCATTTGGGCGTGGGCCCCAAATTATGGTTGTATTCGAGTCTAAAAATAATTGCAATGTTCGTAAGAAAACACCCCAAAGTTAGACACTTCAAGTCCTCAGCTTCGTGATGGATAAAAGTTTCTGAGGCAAACTCGTTCACTTACCTGAGCTTATTCCATAGGTGCAGTCTGGAGACTGGTGGCGACCCGCCGGGTATCTGCCGGGTGCCTCCTGATGGGCGACCCTCCTCTGGCTGCCAAACGATGCCGCTGCGGCGCTCCCCGCTGATGCCGCGCTGGGTGTCGCGACTCTGCTGCTGGGCCTGATTTCGCAGGGGAAACGGTGCTGTGGTCTGCTGCTGATGGAGAGGGACGCTTGCGGAAGCGGTACGCGCTGTGAATACTGCTGCTGCTGATGACTGAGAGCTTGAGGATGGTCTCCGAGCTGCGGAATGTCCACCATTGTGGGTCTGTCGTATCTCGCCTTGCCCGCCGCGCGTTTGCTCGGGAAGGTCTTGAGAGAGCTGTACGGACTCCGCTGCTGCTGCTGCCTGCAGATTTTGGGCGCAGAGAGACCCTCGTCTGCCGGTAGCATCTCCTCCTCCATCTCCCTCGCACTTTAGTGTCGTTCTGTCCCGGTCTGGTTAAATCAGTTATACCAGTGCCTCGCCGCCTTGCTCTGTGTCTCAAACACTTCTAACTGTCTGAGATACTCAGAGGGTGGGTGACTTTACTGACAAGTCATTGCTCCAATCCCCTGGCGGTACCAGCACTCGCTGGCTTTTATTCTACCAACAGGGGAATACCGGCGGCGTCCGCAGGCGCATCCGCCGCTCGGTGTGTATATGTGGCTCGTGCTCCCATCAGTGGGAGTGTCAGATGAGAGAGGTGCAAGATGATATAAAGAGGTGTGCGCGATGCCTCCATGTTTTCTCGCATAGCCATGTTGTCAGTGCTGGGGGTTATTTGTTTGTTTGTTGCTTTTAGTCTAAACTGATTGAAAAAAGAACTTTAGGAGTTGTCAGAGCCGACTGGAAATACATATCTAGCTAACATGCAAATATAGGCAACATGCAAGAGGCTAGATACTTAAAGGGATATTTCACCCAAAATGAAAATTCTAAAAATCATTTACACACCGTCGTCTCAAACATGTATAACTCTCTTCTGCGGAACACAAAATAGCATATTTCAAAGAATATAGGCAAGCAAAAAAAAAAACTGTATAGACAAAAACAAACAGACATTTCTCAGAATAGGCTATAGCCTATTGTGTTTCACAGAAGAAACAAAGTCAAACAGTTTTGGAACGACATGTAAATGGTGGCAGCATTTAATTTTTCGGTTGACTAACCATTTAATATTACATTCAATTTAGAAAAAAAGACAACAACCACAAATATTAAATCAGGTTGTGTAAATAAATAAAGTTCCTGTGTCTACTGTATAACTCCTGCAGCACTGGATGGAAGCAAAGCAGGAAAATTCAAAGTATGTTTTCTTACGTGAATAGAAGAAAGGTTGTGGGATATATATTTATACAACAGTTACTTCTGGTTCTCAGATCTGATTGACTGAGAGTCTTTCCAGTCGTGCGATATTGTACCAGTATGTGAACAGTTTCACCGTTTAGGCTGCTCAGCTGGGAGCATTTTCTTACAGCAAGTGTCAATGGCAATGTAGTTTTAAGGTGAGAATGTAGTTGTTTAAACTTCAAATATGTGGTTTATTTATAAAGACAGCACCCATTTCATATAATTTGCTTTAACGTTTTCAGAGATGTGAGCTCTAGGGCGTCAGCGGGCGTTCAGTGCTCACGAACCTGCCGAGAACAACCTTACCTCGGCCAGGTTTCATTTGTCTTTTTCTTTTCTTTTTTGTGTGTGTTAACAATAAAGACATACAGTCATGGACAAAAGTTTTGGCAGTGACATACATTTTGTGTTTGTGCAAAGTTTCCTGCTTCAGTATTTGTAGATTATTTTTCCACATTTCTACCCAGCAAGCAATTTTCAGTTTAAAAGCCGTCTAATAGCCGTCTAAACACAGCCCAGACGTCTAGGCTAAAACATGGCTAAATTTGTCTAACCATAGCCCAAGAATAGACTAGTCATCAAATAAACAGCTAATGAATGCCTACATATATACATCTAATAGACAACAAAATGGCAGTCCATCCAAACAAATTAAATATACAGCTTTTATTAAGAAAAATAACATTTTTAATAACTTGGACAACTTAAGACAATACAGAATTATAAAAATACAAAATAATTAATGACAAAATAAAATATTATAAATAAAATACACTTAAATATAAATATTATTATAAAAAAATCTGGAATTTTTAACAGCTTAAGATAATAAAAATATAAAAATGAAAAAATAAAATATTTTAAAGAGAAAAAGCACAAGAAAAGCTTTTTGACAATTTTTGACTTTAATTACACTAATTGTGACAGAGTCATTCTCTTTTGCTTGGATGCCTACTAAAAACAAAAATGAGAGAGATATATATATATATAGTGTATCACCATTCAGTGTGTTAAAAAAGAGAGAAGCTCTGTGGTAAATGTTGTGTGTTTATACACATACCTCTAATGACCGAGAACAGTGCACTCTTTTCAAATACCTCTTTCTGCAGCGGACCACCCACCTTCATGTTGAATTTTTAGACATGAGTGAATTTTTTTAAAACCCTAAAATATAATACAGATTGAGGTGGTTAACAATTGC